GGTCCAGTGACTTGTTTAGATCAAGAGAATTGCTGAGGAACCGACACTGTGCCTGTTTGGGGCCTGAAGAAGACTGGCAGCTTCTGCTTTGTTCTCTCAGGAGCCGGCCATCGTGTACAGAAATGTGGGCTAGACGACTGGGTGGTGAGAGGTCATGAGGAGGGAGGAACCACTGAGAGAATCAGGACGCCCACATGTCAAGGCCACCTTGGATCTTCCAACTCCAGCCCATCTGACACCATCCTGGGGCATCCACGCTGGGCCCTGCCCAAATTCTTTTTTTTTTCCTTGTTTTTTTGCTCAAATTCTTGATCCACAGATTTATGAGCAATGAAATATTTTGTGTCTCAAGCCGCTAAGTTTTGGAATGATTCATTATGCAGTTGTGCACAAGCAAAGCACTGTCTTTCCACTGGGGCTGCTAGGCTAGAGGTGGGGACACAGGCCCAGAGCTGCTGGCGGCCATCAGGGAAGTGGCCTCAGAATAAAACCAACACAAGGGAGAGGCGGAGAGACACAGATTTGAGTCCCTCATCCCACTGGCCCAAAATCATAATTCTGTTTGCTCTTTTCCATTAGGTGAGTTTATGAATTTCCATTCTGTAAGCTGGCTTGGGTTGGGTTTCTGTCATTTGTTGTTGTTTTTTTTTAAGATTGTATTTATTTATTCATGAGAGACACACAGAGAGGCAGAGACACAGGCAGAGGGAGAAGCAGGCTCCCTGCAGGGAGCCTGATGTAGAACTTGATCCCAGGACCCTGGGATCATGCCCTGAGCTGAAAGGCAGACACTCAACCACTGAGCCACCCAGGTGCCCCGGGTTTCTGTCTTTTTTGTTTGTTTGTTTCTGTCATTTGTAACCAAAAAAAGTCCCTTGCGAGGGGAGAGGAACTCACAATGAAAGAAATGTTGAGTCTGAGTGGTCTCTGGGAGGACTGAGATCCTGAACTGCACTAGAATCCTTCTGGGAGTCCAGAACACTGAGGGCTCCTTTCTCATGTGGGCAGCCACTAGGGTATGTATCCGGGCTGTGGTGTAAGATGAATCAGAAGAGGACAGTGAGGAGAGGATCGAGGGCTCTGGGAATCCATACAAGTTCTGATCCCAGTGGGGAAGAGAGGATTCAGTCCCACTGCCACCAGGTGGAGTCTGAGCACTTCAGGTGCAGAAGAGGCACAGCCCAGGGCCCTCCACCCTCAGCATCCACCTCCCTCCCCCCCCCCCCGTGGTCCCACCCTTTCTCTCAGGCACCTGGTGCCCACCTCGGGGGTCCTCCTTCAACTCCTCTCAAATTTGTCTCAGGAAATTCATATCCAGAAAAAGATAACGGTTGACAGTAATCAAGATGACAGGGTGTTAGCAAAAGACTAGACACAAAGAGAGGCACCTGGGTAGCACAGGCGGTTGTCTGACTCTTGGTTTCAGCTCAGGCTGTGGTCTCGGGGTCCTGGAATCGAACCCCACGTTGGGCTCCACACTGAGCATAGAGCCTGCTTTGGGCTATCTCACCCTCTACCTCTGCCCCTCCCATCCCGTGTTCTCTCTCTCAAATAAATAAGTGAATCTTTAAAAAAAGAAAAAAAAAAAAAAAAGATCAGGGCGCCTGGGTGGCTCAGTGGTTGAGCATATGCCTTTGCTCAGGGTGTGGTCTCGGGGTCCTGGGATCTAGTCCCCCATCGGGCTCCCCACAGGGAGCTTGCTTCTCCCTCTGTGTCTCTGCCTCTGTGTGTGTGTGTGTGTGTGTGTCTCATGAATAAATAAACGCAATCTTTTTTTAATTAAAAGAAAGTTTTTAAATAGATAAAAAGCTCAATTGGAGAGAATACTCTAGAGAGAGACCACACAGATATATAGAGACTCTAGAGAGAGAGACTACACAAATATATTTAACTGATGTTTATCAAAAAAGCAAAGGCAATTCAATGGAGAAAGGATAGTCTTCGCAACAAAAGTTGCTGGCACAATTGGGACATAGATATTTTTTTTTTATTTTTTATTTGTCTATTTATGAGAGACACAAGAGAGAGGCAGAGAGAGATGCAGGCTCCCTGTGGGGAGCCCGATGTGGGACTCGATCCCGGGACTCCAGGATCACACTCTGGGCCAAAAGCAGGCACTAAACCGCTGAGTCACCCAGGGAACCCCATATATATATATATATATATATATATATTTTTTTTTTTAATCTAGACCCAGACCTTTACACCATTCACTCTAAAAAAAAAGCAAAAAAACAAAAAACATAGACCTGTATGTAAAATATAAAACTACAAGATTTCTAGGAGAAAATATAGGAGCTAATCTAGGCTACCCTGGGTTTGGCAATATGCTTTTAGATACAACACCAAAAGCACAGTCTGTGAAGGACAAAAATTTGACATTAAATTTTGATATAATTAAAAACTTCTGCTCTGCAAAAGATACTGTAGGAGAATGGAAAGACAAGTCATAGGCTGTGAGTAAACATTTCTGAAACACATATCTGATAAAGGATGATTTCATCCAAGATACACAAATAGCTCTTCACCTCAACAAACAAAACAACCCAATTAAGATCCGGCACCTCACTAAAGAAGATATACAACAGTATAAATTTCCAGCTCTAAAATGAGTTCTGGGGATCTAATGTACAGAATGGCAACTATGATTAACCATAATATTGAAAGTTGCTAAGAGTGTAGACCTTAGAAGTTATCACCACACCCCCCCACACACACACACATACACATAGGGTCATCATATGAGGGGATAGAGGTGCTAATCTTATTGTGGTGATCGTCTCACAATATATATGTACCAAGTCATCAAGTGTATACCTTAAACTTTTTTTTTGTATACCTTAAACGTAACGTATGTTATATGTCAATGACATCTCCATAAAGCTGGGGTGGGGGAGATAAACAGATGGCAAAAAGCATATGAAAAGATGCTTGGCATCATTTGTCATTAGGAAATTACAAATTAAAACAGTAGGTACCACTGCACACCCATTAGAATGGCTAAGACTGGGGCACCTGGGTGACTCCGTGGGCTGAGCATCTGCCTTTGGCTCAGGTCATGAATTGAGCTCCAGGTGAGGCTCCTTGCTCAGTGGGATCTGCTTTTCCCTCTGATCCTGCTCATGCACACTCTTTGTCAAATAAATAAAATCTTAAAAAAAAGAAAAAGATTGGATGAACCTTAAATATACATTTGGGGGAAGACCTGGGTGGCTCAGTGGTTGACCATCTGCCTTCGGCTCAGGATGTGATCCCGGGGTCCTGGGATAAAGTCCCACATCGGGCTCCCTGCATGGAGCCTGCTTCTCCCTCTGCCTGTGTCTCTGCCTCTCTCTCTCTCTCTCTCTCTCTCTTTCTGTCTCTCATGAATAAATAAATAAAATCTTAAAAAAAAAAAAAGATTCTCATCCCATCCACCAGGTGAAGAAATCTGGGAGCATCCCTTAGAAATTTTCCGAGGACTGTTTCAGTCCCTCTTGAGAAGCCCGGTGGGAAGTCCTGCTGTTTGCTGTACTTTGATCTGACCCCTCCAGTCTCCCTAAGGCTCAATGTGGTAGCAGGACAATGGCGAGATAGCGATGACTCAGATCCAGTCCCCAGGGGGTATCTAAGAACTCCTTGGGTAGGGAAGGAGTCCGACAGTAAATAACTGCTAATTAAAATGAGAAATGTGGATAACTGTTAGAGGAGCAGAGCCAGAGGGAAACAGCTTGAAAGTGGAGAACTTGCCAAAGCTTCCAGGGTCAGGAGAGACATAGCTCAAGGTGAGGAAGGATCCGGAATCACCAAAAGGGGTTAGAGTCATTTCCAGCTGTGGAAACAGGATATGCAAGTGTCACAGGGGTCTGACAGCCTGTGACTTTCCTGGAAACCTGCTATCTGAGCACTTAGTAGGAGTCCAACACTTGCACCCAGGTAAGTGCAATAGATACTTAGCATTCCCATTTACAAAAGAATCTCTGAAATGTTAAATAATTTGCCTAAGGTCATCTAGCTGGTAAGCAAATAGACACACACAGGAACTCCAAAGGGCACTCTGAGTCTAAATGTGGTGGCTGCTTCACACGCAGGCAGACAGTCTCTGCCGCCGCCTCCTCCTCTTCCTCCTCCTCCTGCCTCATCCTTTCTTTCTCCAAGCCTTCTTTCTCCCTCAAGCCCTTCCCGGAGAGGCTAGCTCCCCCAGCCTCTTTCACCAGTTCACCCGTGATTAACAGCTACCAGACTCACGAGCAAGGACAGGAGTCCAGAATCCCAGGCGCCCTCCCACCGCTAGCTGACAGTGGAAGTCTAAGGCCGGGGATCAACCTCCCTGCCTAGCCCGGGTCCGCCCTTCTCTGGATTGCGGCGAGGATCAAGAGCTCAGGGCTGTGAGTGCGCTCCCACGCCATCCTTCGCTGCTCGCAGCCAGCCACACCCTGGCTCTGGGACCTACGGATCCCGTCGCCGGCCTTAGAGATCGGCTCGGTCCAGCAGGTGTGTCCCCTCCGCACCTGTGGGCGGAGCCCCAGCTTCCAGGCTCACCTGGAGCCAGAATCGGCAGGGGGGAGCTAGCAGATCCGCAGGCTGGCAGTCCCCGCCCGCCGCCGACCCGGACTGGAGGGAAGGGAGGGGCGCCCTCCACCTGCCCCGGGAGCGGAGCCAACACCCCACCCCCACCCCCACCCACCACCATCCCCCGCCCAGTAGGGGGCTGCTGCCTCGGCTCTCGGCCTCGGCTCGCCAAGCTGTCCTCCCCGCTTGGCTCCCGGGGCGCCCCTCCCGGAGCCCCGAGTCTGGGGCGCCGGCGCCGGCGCCGGGAGAGTTAATTCCAACCGTTTCCACGCGGATTCCGGGGGGCCGGGCCGCCGAGGGCTCCTCCCATTGGCCGCGGAGCTGGCTCGGCGCTGAGTGGCTGGCGCTGCCGGCCCCCGCTCGCCTCGGCTCCCCATTGGGCGCCGCGCTCCGCTGCTGGAGTGTGGCGGCCCGGCCTCCGCAGGCTCCCCGGGTCGAGCTGCTGCGAGCACCGGCAGCTGCCTGGGGAGATCATCCCCGGCCCGGAGTTCCGACTTCCTTCACCCCCACCCCCCACCCACCCCCACCCCGATCCAGACGCCACCGATCTCCTCCCGGATCCTCTTCCGTAACCTGCTGGTTTTCTTTTTCCTCTCTCGGCTCCCATCGCCCCAATGCGCCTTTCCCTTCCCTGCTCCCGGGCCCGTGACTGACCATCCCCATCATCCCACCTGACATCCGCCTGGCTTCTGCCCCTCCTTGACCTCGGATCCCGTGACGGACGGGGCACTGCCATAACCTTCCCACCAGACTCTCCTAAACTCCTTTTCCTTCTCTCTTTGCCAGCTCCTGACTCCCAAATTCCAGCTAACCTTTGACCTCTTGACATCTGACCCTAACATTCTTCACCCAAAATCTCTCAGTTCCTGCCTCCTGCAGTCCAAACTTGCCGAGACGGAGGCCTACCCCGAGTTCTGACTCCATTTCTGAAGCTCATTTTTACTTTCTTACTCCTGGGTCACTTCCTGTCACTGCGACCCCACCATGGACTTCTTGATGAGCGGCCTGGCAGCCTGCGGGGCCTGTGTGTTCACCAACCCTCTGGAGGTGGTAAAGACCAGGATGCAGTTGCAGGGAGAATTGAAGGCCCCCGGCACCTACCAGCGGCACTACCGAAATGTCTTCCACGCTTTCATCACCATCGGCAAGGTGGATGGCCTGGCTGCCCTGCAGAAGGGACTGGCCCCTGCCCTCTTATACCAGTTCCTGATGAATGGCATCCGCCTGGGCACCTACAGCCTGGCTGAGGCCAGAGGCTACCTGAATACTGCCGAAGGCACCCTCAGCCCTCCGCGAAGCGCAGCAGCTGGGGCCCTGGCTGGGGTCATGGGAGCCTATTTGGGGAGCCCCATCTACATGGTGAGAGGAAGGGTCTTGCCTGGGGCCTCCAGGCAGACCCTTGGTGTAGGGTGGGGCCTGGGCCTTCACAATCTGACACTGAGATTGGAAGTGGGTTTGTGCAGGGAACAATGAAGGATCTGAGTAACATCGTCAGTGGGTGTAGGGATGAGGGAGAGTCCTGGGCACCACAGAATTATAATCCCACAGTCTCCTCCTTTGAGTTTTCTGGAATAGGTGAAGGATCAATAGCCTGAGGCCCAGAGAAGGGAAGTGACCAGCTCAAGGTCACACAGCTGCTTGCTGCTAGGACTAGGTTCTGCTTAGTGTTCCTCCTGGAAGACACTGGCAGTCAGGCAGTTATATAAGAGAGGCAAGTCTGGTCTCACTCCTAGGATATGACATTCAGAAACAGTGACCCCTCCAAAGTCAGCCTCCACATGCCTCCTTGGGGCTTGGGAGCCAGAGAGCAAGTTTTACAGCAACCTGCCCCAGAGTTGGATGGGGGAGTCTGGTCATGGTGGTAACTAGAGATTCCAAATGGGAATAGGAGCTGACATGAGAGGCCGGACACCCAAGTGCTGCCTAACAGGGACAGTCTTAGGAAATGTTGCCATTCTCTAACCTGTCCATCCCCCACTCAACCCCCAAGGGAAGGAAGATGTAGAGGGCGTGGGGTATCTTGCAGTGCTAGGAGATCCATCCCCTGGGACTGGAGCCAAGGGACACAGAGTCTCATGACCAACGTGTTAAGTGGGAACAACAACCATTATCAGATTAAAAGGATACTCCTTGCTGAACACCCTGGAGGAAGTGTGATGGGGTCAGGCGTTCAGGTCTTTGAGGTGGGAGGCTGACCACTGGGCCGTAGGCCATGACATTCTCTTGTCCCCAGGTGAAGACACACCTGCAGGCACAGGCAGCCTCAGAAATTGCTGTAGGACATCAGTATAAGCATCAGGTGAGTGTTTTCCAACCCTACTGGGGTCCCTGCCCATTCTTTCCCGTTCCCCCCACTTCCTGCACCACCTACCCCGCAGCTCTCTGCCTGTGCCCAACAGCTGCAAGGCAGCCATGGCTTGCCTAGCCCACCGATTCAGCACCCACCCCCTACACCTCCTGTGGAGTGGTGAGGAAGAGAACAGTGCAGGTGATAGAAACATTCCAAATCTAAGTCCACACGGAACTGGTTGTCCAGACACCGGGTGCCCGTTCAAGACCCCTCCTTGGCAGGGTTAGGTGGCAGCTTCCTGATGCCGGGTTGACTGAAGCCCGCCCCCGTGGTCTTCCCCCTACCAGGGCATGTTTCAGGCGCTAAGCGAGATTGGCCAGAAACATGGTCTGGTGGGGTTGTGGCGTGGGGCCCTGGGCGGCCTGCCCCGAGTTATCATCGGTTCTTCCACCCAGCTCTGCACCTTCTCATCCACCAAGGACTTCATCACTCAGTGGGAGGTACTGCCCGGCGAAAGGGATGGGGCCACGCTGGGGGTGTGGGCAGTGGGAGGGCAAGCTGAATTGGGCCCCATGAATGTCGCATGGTGATGTTCAGTGCGAGGGAATGGCAGGAGGACTTGAGGGTCACTGACTCTTTACGCCCTTCCCATGATCCTCTTGTCACCTCATCCCAGATGGTGCATCTGAGTGCTGGAGCATCCTGCCCTTGGGAGCTCCCTGAGTTACAGGCTCTCTACTCTATCCCCAGGGCAAGGCCCCGTTCTTTCCCAGGGGTTAAACAATTGGCTGACAAAATTCTCTTCCTCCTTCCACCCTTAGATATTTCCTCCCCAGAGCTGGAAGGTTGCTCTGGTTGCTGCCATGGTGAGTGGCATTGCAGTGGTCCTGGCCATGACACCCTTTGATGTGGCCAGTACAAGGCTCTACAACCAGCCCACAGATGCTCGGGGCAAGGTAAGGGGGTACTCTGGAGTGCCGGCAGGCAGGGAAGGCCAGGCGGTGGGTGAAAGCAAATTGTGGGTGCAGGTGGGACAGCCTAAAATGCAGCCCGCTGAGATGACGCCCCTGGTGGGCTCTGACAGACTCCTTCCCTGTGCTCTCCCTCCCTCTCAACCCACTCTCAGGGCCTCATGTACCGGGGGATCCTGGATGCTCTGCTGCAAACTGCTCGGACAGAGGGCATTTTTGGCATGTACAAGGGTATAGGTGCCTCCTACTTCCGCCTTGGCCCCCACACCATCCTTTCCCTCTTCTTCTGGGACCAGTTACGCACCCTCTACTACACGTACACCAAATGACAACAGCCACTCTTGCACACACCACCAAATCAGCACTCCTTGGACACTTCTGCCTCCACTACTATATCCTGGTGACTTCTGACCAGGTGACCTGTCATCCACCCAAGGGGGACAGCCAACACCACTCCCCATCTGTTTTCTCAGGGTTAAATCACTACAAGGAACAGTCTGCCTCCCTTCCTTGGGTGTCACTTTAAACCTTCCCTACCCATCCTCCCGGACACGTCACACCCGCTCTCTCAGGGCAGAGCCAATCACTCCAAAGTATTCCCTCCTTTTATGTGGATGGCCTTGGGTCCCCTTCTGATCCTATGCACAAACTTTTAATCCCCCACTCCAAGACCAAAAGGAACCAGGGGGGACCCAGGTGTCTTGTTGGATTCAAAGGCACAGAGATATTATCTTCGTTATAAAGCAAGTTTATTTCTGCAGACAGGAGGTGTCTTATGTTTATGCACAGGGAAGGAATTAAGGGCATATATCCAACTCCTTGGTCCCCTTGCAGAACGGGGTCCCTGTGTGCTTCAGCAGCTTTATGCAGTGTTTCAGCATCTTTACTGGGGACCAAAGATGTTGGGATCGTGAAGGGTCAGACTGGTCACCAGCTGTTCAAAGTCACCCAGGCTCCAGGGCAGAAGTGACAGATTTTCAGGACCAAGAGATAACCTATTGTCAGGGCTTGGGGGTGGGGAACAGATGGAGAAAGAACATCATCCAGGCCTCAGGTGGTGACAGTCCCACTTCCTGTTCCCAGGAGGACCCCAAGCCTCTGGCCCTCTCCCTCTTTCTTGGAGGACCCCGCCAGGCAGTCTCCCCGCTCTGCCCCTCCCAGCAGATCCTCCTGGGGGACCCAGTCATGAGCCATGTGTCCTTTCTGTCCTCCTTACGGGGGCTCATTGAAGGTGACCAGGACATCAGTCTGATAGCGGAGCAGCCGCAACAAAGCCTGGTGCACCATCACGTCCTTTGCTACCTGAAGGGATCAGGGTCAAGATGCTTACCTGACCCCGCCCCCCAGGGTCCCTCCCGTCACCCCTCCAGGAATCTCACACTCCCGTGCTCTCACCTGGTGGTTTTCTTTAGCTACCTGCTGCTTGCCAGAGAGGACCCAGGCTTCTTGACAGTAGCTCCGGAGAGCCAGGTTCTCCAAAAGGAGGGGCTGCACACTGTCCACTTGCAGGGCCCTAGCCTCCTGCATCCCGCCCACGTCCTCAAAGTGGTACCTAGAGGAGGGGGCGCGGGCGGGGTCAGGGAGGGACGGTGACCGGCCGCCCACTCCCTCCTGCCCAGCATCATCGAGTCCTTTTAAGCTTCGCTCACTTCCCGCGATAAGGTGTTGCCCTTGGGCTGTCTCACCGCCCGGATTAACCGTCCTGCCGCAGGCCCCGCCCACCTCCTCGGCTCCGGCCCTCCCATTGGCCAGCCGCGCGGGCGGCCGCCTCCCTCACCGCGCAGCCTCCTCGCCCTGCACGTGGGCCTGCAGCTCCAGAAGTTCCACGATCAGGCTCTGGTCAGTCACGCGGTGGCAGAAAACTTCCTGATTGTCCGGGACCGGTCGCAGGTCGCTGGAGAGAGTCGAGGCAGACCCCCCCCACCGGCTGAGCCCTCGCTTCTCCCCGCATCCCACCGGACGGGTCCGCGGCGCTCGCGCCTTCTCACCTTACGTCAAGGGCCCCCGGAGGCAGAGTGGCGGAGAAGGCGCCCCCGAACAGCGGGTAGTCTCGCGTGGGCTCCATGGGCCTGGGACTGGGTGCGGGCATCAGAAAGATATAGGAGAAACCCACGTGTGGCCATGCGGCATCACCATCGCCGCCGCCGCCTCCGGTCCGCCTTAGCTCCCGCCCCTTTAAGGGTTGGCCCCGCCTGTCGGCCGCGCTGGCCAATCAGCGTCTGCGCCTTGGGGGGCGGTGCCCAGCGGGGCGGCTCCCGGAAGCCTGGCTCTCGCGGGGCGGAACCTGGGAGCTGCCGCGAGTTGCAAGCGGCGAGGTCCGACCCTGGCGCCGGGGTTTGTGAGCTCCCCGTGCCCTCCAGCCCGCGCCCACAGTCTCCCTTTAAAGAGGTCGCGCCTTCTGAGACTGTCGCTTGAGACCCTCCTTGGGGACCCTTGCTCGGGCAAGGGGTTGACGTCTGGGTGGGGTCTCCTGAATCGGGAGAATACCTTTGAAGGTCTTGCAGCTCCCTTCTTGGGGGGGACTTGGAGGCAGCGAGCTGCAAACCCGACCGCTAATTCCCCGGATGCGGGGATTTAGGGGAACAGTGGGGCCAGGTGTGAGGCCCTTCCTGCAGGCGAGACCCAACCCGCGGATTAGGTGTTTAATCCGTCTCAAATCTTGCCTTGAGAACTCGGTGGGGGTGGGTGGGGTGGAGAGGCCGGCCGCCCCCACACGCACCTGGAGGAAAACACGGATTAAACCCTCTGTTGTTTCTCTTTCATTGATTTTTTAGAATGTTCTCAAAAGTTTTCGCCCAGTTACATTCTCCCAGCTGATTTCTCCATTCGTGTTTAATCCCCAGCGCCTGCCAGTGTTCAGAACATAACAGGGCCATTAGGTATTGTGGGATTAATGGATAAACGCCTTACCCACGGGGTTCCAAGTGCTGCCTCTACTTACGGACCCTAATGATTTCATGGCCCTGGGGCCAGGGGACTCCTCATTTTGGGGTCCCTTACCGAAGCTGGAGATACAAAGGCAGTTAGGTCATGATCCCTGCCTCACCAAGGACTGCTAGGAACACTTTGAATCTTAAAGGCTGACCCAAAATTCACCAGGGCATCCTAGGGGTGTTTTAGGCAGGGGAACATCAGGTGCAAAGACTTGGAACTTTTGAAAGGGCGTATCTTGGGAGATGCAAGTGTATTGGCTTGGCCAGGGTGCAGTGAGGGACAGGTGGCAGGAGCTGGAAACAGTGACACTGGAGAGGACTTGTGCACTTTTTTTTTTTTTAAGATTTTATTTATTTATTCATGAGAGACACAGAGAAGCAGAGACATAGGCAGAGGGAAAAGCATGCTTCCTGTGGGGAGCCCAATGCGGGGCTCGGTACTCGATCCCAGGACCCCGGGATCACGCCCTGAGCCCAAGGCAAATGCTCAACCACTGACTCACCCAGGTGCCCCTTGTGCACGGTTTTTATAGAGCGTCCTAAGGAGCTGGGACTGTCCCCTTCTGACCACCAGTCTCAGACTTCTCTAGTCCTTATGTCCTCGTCTCTAAAATGTTGTTAGGATTAAAGGAGCTATGGAGGTAGCTGGATCTGGATCTGTTTCTGGGCAGAGAGTGAACCAGGTTTGATCCATGGGGAATTTTAGAGAGGAGGGGAGTGTTGCAGACCTGAGAGTGAGAGAAGGAGCCCAGACAAGGAAAACCAATGGAGCTAGACCAGAGGAGTCTACTTTACGCTGCCTCTGTCTCTCTGTCCCTCCCTCTTCATTTCTGCTGGTCTGCCACCCGCCCCTACCCCAACCCAACTCCACAGGGCAATACTGGCTCTAGCTGCTTTGTGAGCAGTCAAGCAAATAGGGTACCTTTGGAAAGAGACTTTTAAGGACAAAGAAGTTAATAAGGCCTTGGCATTGGGACAAGGTGGGGTAGGGAGTGGCTACCCCCAGCAGGAGGCCCCACAGGATTAAGGAGACTGAGGAGAAAGTGCCCCTGCCCCTGACTTCCTGATTTGGGGTCTCTGGCATGCCAGGCACTATGCTCTTGGAGGAGCCTGGTGCAGCTGGGACTTCTGGCCTGCCACAGTTCTTGAGTTCATGGGACACAGGTTAGGTAGGCTCTTCCAGGTGGTAAGAAGCAGATCTCCACAAAGAGAAACAGGCACAAGACCAGACCTCTGGTTGAGTGGAGTGGAAAGCCACCCTAACTTGACATATTCCCACTTGGACTTCACTTCCCTCCCTCTCATCCTTCACTTCTGTCTGGCAGTTCTTGGGGCCCTCTCAACTGCTGACTCTTATATATGGTCCAATTCAAAATCCCAAGAAATAGAATCTAATTGGGTCATTCAACCTGGGGACCTATTTGGCAAGCTCTCCTGCCTGGCCATTCCCAGGCCACAAGCCAGACATGAGTGAGATCCATGGTCCAACTGGCTGTGGCTATGGGTATATGGGACAAATCTCAGGAGGCAGAGGTGGCCCGAGCCATTTTTCTCAGATCGCTGGTTGAAAGAGACCTGCAGCTGATGGATTCCACACCCCTTCTCCCATGCCCTGCATGCAGTCGATACAACTGGCTTCTCTGGGGGCAGGTGTCCCAGAGCCCCAGGTGGAAAGTGATGAACTTGTACCAGAGAGGGGGCTCCCTCCATACCCAAACTCAAGCATCAATTTTGGAGGGATTTTTTTTAATATTTAATATTTCTATAAAGCAGAAGTTTTGAACATTTGGGTTTTTTAAAAGATTTTACTTATTTATTCATGAGAGACACAGAGAGAGGCAGAGACACAGGCAGAGGGAGAAGCAGGCTCCTCACAGAAGCCCCATGTAGGACAGACACTCAACGGCTGAGCCACCCAGGGGTCCCGAACCTTTTTTTTTTCTACTATTCATCCCCTTGGCAGTTTGGCAGGGGCCCATAGACCCCTACTCAGAACAATGTTTTCAGATTCACAAAATAAAATATGTAGGGAGACAAATGAAATGAAAATATTCAAATACAATAATCAAAATTAAAACCCCAGATTTTTGTTAGAGTAAAAATGTGCTGCTTTGTTATCACATTAAACAAGACTTAGCAGCAGATCTGCTAAGTGTAACATCAAGCTGGCAATGCATATAGATTGAAGTTCAGGAGATCTGTGACAACTCTAATGTGGGTGCTGGTATCTGTGACTGCTGTTACCACAGAGTCTCTGGTGCTGGCTCATACCACTGTGCTCTGGTATCTACAGTTACGATGACAAGGGATGCTAAATTTAAAAAAAAAAAAAGAAGCCACTGGAAATAAGTAACTTTTCCCATCCACATTGATTGACTGGAGCTTAAGAAACCCAGCTATGAATTATGTGCCCTGGCCCTGCACCAGGCCCTAGGGGAAGATCAGTGGTAGCTATGATAGGTTGCTAAACAAAGGCCTGGTATGACCATGGTGTTTGAGTAAGAACAGTGTGTCCTTGTATTGGGGATGATTCTGTAGCTGTCACCCAAAACGCCCCCACCACGGAACTTTCCAGCCCTTGTATCCCCCTAATCTTCCCCCCACCTCCCCATGCTCTCTATGCAAGGTACTCTGAACTTCCCTTGACCCCTTGACTGAGTCAGCCTCTTTCATGCCTCTGTTTTTTGCGGGTTTTTTTTTTTGTTTTGTTTTTATTTTATTTTTATTTATGCATGAGAGGCAGAGACACAGGCAGAGGGAGAAGGGAGAAGCAGGCCCCTGCGGGAAGCCCGATGCAGAACTCAATCCCAGGACCCCAGGATCATGCCCTGAGCCGAAGGCAGATACTCAACCACTGAGCCACCCAGGTGTCCCATGCCTCTGTGCTTTTACCCATGTGCCCTCCGTCTAGAACTTTCTTTCTCCCGCTCTTTCCTGGCTAACTCATTACCAGGGTTCACTGCTCTTTCTGAGGATGGCTGTGACTCTTGGCCTTCCCGTCCTCACTGCAGGCACCCCACTGTGTTACAAAGGTCTAATCCCCAGGAAGGCAGGGACCATACCCAACTTTCACCTTTAGCTTCCCAGAGTTGTGCAGGACGGAAGGAGGGGGTTGGGGGACTGGCCTATCACTATTTATCATATGGATATTGCTTAAGAGACAAATAACAACCGGTTATTTACCGGTTAAGACCAGTCAAGATATGTGCCATAAACAACTTGACTGGCGTTGGTTTCTGGTTCCCAAACGGGGAAACTCCAAATCCTTGGGATTTTCCAAGTGACAAGAGTTCTTTGTTATTCAAGGTGAGCCCTGATAGTTTACATGAAGGCCATGACTAGATAGTTTATGCAAAGAGAAGAATCAGGGTGAGGGTAGGCCACACACCATAGAGACCAACCCTAGAATGGAAAGGGCTGGAACTTTGAGCCACTTGATAGCAACCTAAGAAAACCCCAAGCCCCTTGGGCAGCCCGGGTGTTTCAGCGGTTTAGTGCTGCCTTTGGCCCAGGGTGTGATCCTGGAGGGGGTGGGGGGATTGAGTCCCGCGTCCCGCTCCCTGCATGGAGCCTGCTTCTGCCTCTCTATCTCTCTCTGTCTCTGTCTTTGATGAATGAAAGAATAAATAAATAAAATCTTAAAAAAAAAAAAAAAGCAAGCCCCAATAAAGATTCTGGACATCAAGGCTCAAGGGAACTTCTTGGATGGCAAACACAGTGAGGTGTCAGGGAATGAGCTTGCAAGCTCTCCTTCCAGGACCCTTCCAGATCTTACATTTATGTGTCCTTAGAGTGAAACAGCAATCAGTACTTCCCTGAGTTCGAGTTGTTTCAGTGAATTATTGAACCTCTGGGCATTTCAGGAACTGTGGAATTTATAGCCAGTTGGCCAGAGATGTGGTTACTTAGGGACTTGTAAGATTTATGGTTGGCATCTGAAATGAGTGTTGGCTGGTGGAAAACAGACTGTACCTTGAAGCATCCGATGCTTACTGCAGTTGGTGTTAGACCAGTCAGGGTGAAACAGAATAAGAAGTCGGTAATATCCCAAGTTCAGGGGGATGAGGGTCTACACTAAGCTCGTAGAGAGACAGGAGAGGAAGAGATGAAGCCAGAAAAGCAATAAGCAAGAGAAGCCATAGTCTGGGGAGGTCCGCAAAGCATAGAGGAAGCATGAAGAGTCAAAGATGGTGGCCAGGCCAAAAAGAATGGTGATGCCCATGACAGAAGTAGGCAGTGAAGGGTTTGGTTGTGGACAGGGCAAAGAGGAGAGAGGGCCTCTGTTCTTGCCCCTAAGTCACAAGACTGGGTGCTTTACTGCCTCCACTTCCCAGAGGTAGAGTCCAGCCCCTCTGATCCTGCCATTCCTCCTTTTGGGTGTGGGATTGTCCAAGCCAGTGACACCGAGACAAGTGCACCAAGTGACCATACCCAGCGACATTCCTCAGGACCCTCTGCCTGGAGCTGGCAAAGGGCATGCGCCCTCCAAATGAGTGTCATGTTCTCCTAGCTTGGTTCTGGCAGCCCGCACTTTTGACCTCTCGATGGACAGGGGCCCTCCTGCATTTCACATGTGTCTCTCAGCATCTGTTCCAGAAGTAGGAGGAAGAGGTGACTTGGGAGAGGTGGTACACTATGGCACACATCCCCCCCCATCGCCTCCCCCCACCCCCCATGGCCTGGCCTGCCTCTAGGGAGAGAGGAGGTGTGGGGAGGGGTCCCGTGGCAGCTCTTCAGAATCTGATGGATCCTCACGGGGAGGGGGAGGTACCTT